ATTGTTGACTGAGGTGCAATCTTTCTAGCTGCCATTCTCTTTCCTGTTAGGCCATTTTTGTGCAGTGCAATGATGTTTCAGCATTTGGCAGGGAAGCATCTAGAGTGCTCTCCTCCTTTTCACCTGCAGAAGGCAGTGCTTCTCTAGATGCCGAAGATTGCCTGGGAACAGTCTCAGAGGAACCTCCATTCACGCAGAGCACTTTGTTCCTATCGGTGCGGTACAGCAGCAGCCCCCCCAGGCCAACAGCACCATCTGGTACTGCTGGACATAGCCATTTGTTTTTATAGAGGGGATGGTTTGCAACAAATCACAAAGCTCCCTTGCATAAGCCAATCACAAGAAAGTACTCCACTTGGGATGACTAGAACTTGAAGTTAATTAATAGGTCATTCAAATCTAGGGTAAAACTAGTTATTTATTATCAGTTGAATGATTATAACTGTAATTTGTTTACTGACCAGGGTTTTAGTCCCTGACTTAAAAGGTTAGACTCCTGACTTAATCCGGCTGTTAAAAAATCCTGTTGTTTTTAACCAATTTAGTAATTTAGGCTATGGCTCTTAGCAACGTTATTAATCACCAACCAAATAAATGTGTCTCTGTTCATCCGGATGCTACTGAAAGAAGAGTGAATCGTTCACTGTGTAAAATGAACACAAAGACCACAGGTTAAAAAATATAATGGTACCTTTATTAGCTACAATCACACAGTATTATATCTAATAACTAAGCAAAACACTAAGCACTACTGAAAATAAGCAGCACTAAAGAAATAAAAGGGGAGGGGGCGTTTAAGAGTTCTTTCAAAGTCTGATTGATGTTTGAAGTTTAAGGCTTAATGCATTTAAAAGTGTCCTTTATAATAAAAGCAGATAAAATGTAAACAAACCCTGAAACACACAGATGGTAACTGAAGTCAGTTTCATTCAGTTTTTGGTGGAAAATGAATATTGACTCAGGAATGCATTAAACTATGATGAGGCTGAAAGACCCGTTAGCTTAGCTGGCCCCAGGGGTAAGAGGGTTAGCTCACGATGTAGCAGTTAGCTTCAGCAACACATGACTTGTTCGGTCTGTAGCGAGCGTTAGCATTTAGTTAAACCTTTAACCATTAGCAGCTGAATCAGAAAGCTAGGGGTGTAAATAATAATGGTTTTGTATCGAGCATCGCTCAAACAGCCGACGATCCGATGCATCGACACGTCAAAAGTATCGATTCATGTTTTTTTTCCCCTCCGGTCTATTTTTATCCATTTGCTCCTGGACGTAATTCTCCCTCCCGTCCTGCGGTGGCGCTAAACCTATTTTGCCCTCCTACTACGCTTCCTGGTTATACTCTTACAGCAGTGTGTTGAAGTGAGCTTGACACAGAAATTTTTGATTTATGCTCAATATTGAAGCGTGGTCTGAGCTACACGCTGTGGGTCTAGATACGGCCGAGGCGGCGAGGAAGTGGGGGCGAGTTTAGTCCAACGACGGAGGGACATGAGGGCCAAAAAGAGCGGAGATCCAGGTGGAAAAAGGGTCC